TGCTTTGGATTATGAACTGTTTCCATACTACTGCATACTAAAAGTTTCCTAATTACTATCTATGACTTGAAGACTGTTCTGTGTACACATGAGGATTCTTCATCCCATCCATCACAAATCTCCCACGCATATTCCCAAGCAAACAGTGTTTATTTTATTGATGCAAGAACTGTGAGCAACAGCTCATCTTTAAGCACATCTAATAGTGACAGGCTGAAATGTGGCAATTCTGTGATACCTTGGTACTCAACTGCTTTGAAACTCATCAATTTGGTACTCAACGCATTTTGAAAAGAAAATTTTGTCCTGGTACTCATTGTTTATTTGGTACTCAACAGACTAGGTACAACTTGTCCATGTCCAGCTGCCTTGTGATTCACTACATTATTCCTTATGGGAAAAATTTGTTCGGTACTTATTGTTTTTTTACACACATTGTGCCTCCTGGAATCAGTTAATGATGAGTACTGATGTATCACTGTACCATTATAATGCCCTTTTTTTACTAGAAAAAAGTAGCCCCTGTTTATATTTATTTATTTAGTTAGCTAGTTCAATTTATATGCCGCCTTTCTCCGGAGACTCAGGGCGGCTCCGGAGAAAGAAATATCACACTGAATTGCTGGGAAAGGCTAGTATCATATACCAAATTCATTAGTTACAACTGAGTTTGGAGTTTTAGTTTTGACATCAAGAATCTTAACATGCCACTCTTTTCTCATATGTATTTTTCTGAACCTCCAGGGAAACATCTAAAATGTAGTGGATCAACCTTTTCCTCATGGTATCATCATGGTGAATTACGGCTGTGATGGAGAAGTCTCTCCAAAAAGTGGTGACCCATTTCATCACTTTTTCAGTATTGCTTTTGTTAGATATTCTTCCTTTGGAGCATTTAAAAAAAAAAATCACAAGCCAGTATCTTGATCATTGATACAGCATCAATATTCGTAAATGTGATATGGAAATGTTAAAAATGATTAAACAAAAGTCCCTCTCATTGTACATTGCCTCTGGTCTTTCACCATTTAACCAAGTTGCTCATTAGAGCATAAGAATCTGGACTCTACAGTACTAGTCAAAGATATAGCAGAAAATCTTTACAAATTTCATTATTTCTATGATTGTAACAGGAGTGATTGATTATCAGATTGCAGACTTCTTTACAAGACAAATGGTCAGGGAATCTTTTTTCTTAAAAAAGATATTCAATATAATTCCTATGCATTATTCACATGGTTATGTGGTTATGTGTGTGTGTGTGTCTGTATGTGTGTTTGTGTGTAATATATATTGGGTATATACATATTTATTTATTTATTTATTTATTTATTTATTTATTTATTTATTTATTTATGGTCATGTAGTGTATATTGGAGTGGTGACCCTTTGAGCACTGTAGGCAACAAAATTTCATTTTAAGGTATACCAATTAGTGTACATTCAAAGTGACAATAAAGTTTGTTCTGCTGTGCTCTGCTCTGCTCTATTCCATTCCATTCAGAGGTGGGCGGCGCATGAATTAACAACCAGTTCATCCGAACACCGAAAATGTGAGCTTGTGCGCACTCTAGCTTCGCTCGCACGCATGACTTCCATGCATGCGCGTGGCCTTCTGGACATGTGCTTTGCTCACATGCGCTTCCACACATGCACGCAGCTTTAAAAACACAGCTGAATAGGATGGCATAGCGCCAGGGTGGGCAGGCAAGGGTGGGCATGGGTGAGCGGGCCCACCCACAGCTCACAATTACCGATTCGCCCAAACCTGTCTGAACTGGCTGAATCCCACTCTTGATTCCATTCCATTCCATTCCATTCCATTCCATTCTTAACGAGCAGGTGGCAAGTCCAGCTAGGGACCTTTGTACAGGTTTGTGTGCCAGGTTCTGCCCAACACTGGACGGGGAGACCTTGCTCATCATCACTTACGTGTTATGCTATTTCCTGGTTCAATGGAACCATTCAGAAATTACAACTGGTCCAGAATGCAGCAGCATGTACAGCTTTGCCCATAATTGGTGTAGGAGCTGCACTGGTTCCCAGTTTCTTTCTGGGTGCAGTTGAGGGGCCTGGTTATTACTCTTAAAGACCTGCATGGCACAGACCTTTCCCTGAGGATAGCTGCCTATTCTACCAGGCTGGGTAGAGCAGCCCTGCTCCAGATCTCTCCTTTAGATGTTGTCAACTAGTAAGATGGGGCTTCTGGTCTGTGGAATACCTTCCCCCCCCAGGATCAAGGAAACCCCCACTCTTCTAGCCTTCCAGAAGAACTGGAAGAGCTAGCTTTTCCCTCAGTCAATGGTATCCTGTAAGGGTGGAGCCAAACATCTGCAATTATGTTTTGGTTGGGGAGTGTTGTTTGGTGTACTATGATTTTTTTTCTTTTTTGTATATTGGCTTTACTATTCTGTTGTGTTTTCTCACTGTTTGGGAGTCACCAGAGCTTTGATATATAAGATGGGTAGCTATACATGTTTTTAAATTTAATTAATTGCATTTGATTAATTACATCAAATTCTCTTTACAGGTAGTCGTTGACTTACAACCATACATTTAGTGACCATTTGAAATTACAACGGCACTGAAAAAAGTGACTTATATGACCATTTTTACCCTTACGACCATTGCAGTATCTCCATGGTCATGTGATCAAGATTCATTGGCTCATAGTTATGATGGTTGCAATGTCCCAGAGTCACATGATCACCTTTTGCGACCTTCCGACAACCAACGTCAATGGGGAAATCAGATTCACTTAACAACTGTGTTACTAATTTAACAAGTGCAATGATTCACTTAACAACTGTGGCAATGGGGCAATAAAATGGGGCAAAACTCACTTGACAATTGTCTTCCTTAGGAACAGAAACTTTGAACCCAGTCGTGGTTGTAAGTCAAGGACTACCTTCACTGTACATCAGCACCATATTCCCGCACACATTTATATTTTTATCAGAACTCAATTACATTTTCAATAAACCTGTTTTGTAAAAAAAAAAAAAACCATGTCCTTTTAGAGACCTTTCAGGATATTCTGCTCCAAGTTTTAAAAATATGCTTTAAAATAATACAATAAAATGCTTACTACTGCAAAAGAAAACAAATCCTGCCAGACATCGAAACCACAGCCCCTAATGTTTAACCACAACTACTGCCTGCCTATTTAATCACTGTTTGCAAAACACAATTCAGTAGCCATCATTTTATTGTTTGCAGAAGTTTGTGTTTCTAAATTTCATGTTAAATAAACTTAAAATGTTACAGACACATTTATTTGAATGTACAGTGTGCCTATCATAAATAAAATTGTAAAAAATGCACCTTTCTTAACTAGTAAATCATTTAATGCTATGTATATATTAAAAAAGTCTATAAAGCAAAAGTGAGTTCTATACAGATCTATTTGAAAGCTGAGCAACTGATCTAACAATGTCAGTTGTGTACTTAACGGAAGTACAGATGCTCCTAATAGTTGGAATTCCTACTTAATTTTATTTTTAAAAACAGAAATACTGTATTCCAATTCCTATTTCCAGCTGTTCTACATTGATATATTTTCAATGCTAAAATGTAAATAAGCATCTTTATAATTTAGAATTCCTAGAAAGAAATACCAGTCTCACAGTCCCAAAAATTAATGAATTCCATGAATATTCATTTAATGACGTGCTTACCGCCTTGATAAAGCCACATGCTATATTTGGCCAAGAATACTACTTTGCCCTGTGTATTATTACACTGCCAGATGTTAACTCAATACAAAAGATAAATTTTGTTGTGTTTCTAACATTTAGGTGCAAATTATCTATGAATGGGCTCAGGTCAGTTAAAAGATTCTTAGATGGAAGGCTGGTCATCTGCCTGATCCCTTGAACAGTCATTAGCAGTCATGAAAAATTCTAGGTCTGAGTAGAAGAAGAAAATTAAAAGGGAAATAGTATTTCAAAAGAAGAATATAACTGTTCAAGAATATAACTGATTATGTGCCATCAAGTCAGTGTTGATTCTTAAAAATCTCATTGATTTTCTCCAGCAAGATCTATCCTCAGCTTGGTCCTTCGGCTCTTTCATCTATTGGTATAGTGTTACTCAGGTTTCTCCACTAATTGTAATTATATCAGTCTTATATGCAAAGTGCTTTTAACCAACAAATGTCTAAAAATAGTAAAATCAAGTAAAAATTGAGAATTCTTAGCTTTCTACACATTATCACCTTATATTCTAATTACTAACTAAATCCTGAGTAAGACTAAATATATTAAATAATAAGCATGAATAGCAAAGATTTATAGATTCACACACCATTTCTTTCTAATATTTGGCACTCAAACTGTTAAAACCAATATCAAGTAAAATATAAATATTTCATCAATAATTTTCAACAATTAAAAGCAGGAAAAACAGTGAAATTATTATTATTAGTTTTCAATATTTATTCAATTGGCCATATTATGAGAACCCTCAATAAATTCTCAGTTTATCCATCAGTACCCTAAACCTGATCAGAGCCAAGAACCAATAAAAAGAGATTCTTCTCCCTCACCTATGTTTTGCTATTATACATCTAATATCTACATCATATCTTCTCTCTATTTGATTTCTCTCTGTACATTTGATTTTTAATTTTAACATTTACTTTCCATTTCTATTTATTTTATTTATTTATTTATTTGATCAAATTTCTATACCGCCCTACTCCCGAAGGACTCAGGGCGGTGAACAGCCAAGATAAAATACAGATAATACAAATATTAAAAATCCCTTAAAATTATTAAATATTTTGGCCAAAACACAAATCAAAACACCCAATTTCTAACAAAATTCATATATTTAATATAGCACTGTTCAAAACTATTTGTTTCCACTGAATGTATCTCCCTCTCCCTTCAGACTGCTGCACGAAGCAGAGATACTCACAGATCATGCTTGCTGTCTTCCAGTAGACTTAGCCAAAGTTTTCTAATTCCCCCTAAAGAAAAGTGCAACTTAATACTCACTTGTTTATTCTTTGTCTTGGTGATGGTATCCGAAATAGGTTTCTTCCTCTCTTTAACAGCTGTTTTAGAAAACAGTTCTTCAAATTCATGATAATCTATTGAAGGCTCTTCAATTTTTTCCCACACAAGTGAAGCACTAGAATCTCTAAAGTTAAGCAAAAGACCTATGTAGGACAACATCAGACTGAATAGTCACAAAATGGTGGAATGAAGATAGATGAATTATCAGTTTCATTGCTAAATTCATTTTTCCAATTGAAAATGGACTACAAAAATATTGAAACTTTCTGATTCATAAAAGAAATATTCTGCCAATTTCCTGCACAACATATAAATAGTACTTTTCAGTAGGATCTATATTTATACTAGAATAATAGATATACATGCAATAATTTATATATTATCAGATTCATACTGAAGCTGCTTACCATGATTATTGCAATAGTTGGGAAAAATAATAATATGTGGAATAGTAAACCAAAAATATAATTGAGGGGAACAAAAAAAAAACATTCTCAGAAAATATAGCATGAATTTTACATAAAGCATTGTCTGGTAATGATAACTATTAAGACTTCCTATAATTTTCAATAAGCACCATCAACTAGTGCATAGCTCACAGATTATCTCAGAAAGAAATTCATATTGAGTAACAAGGATTTTTTTTCTCCCAATTTCTTGAGATTTTCCTAGCACATACCTTTATCCTTGATCCCATTTAAGAGAAAATTGATATAGGAGAGCTTGTCAATGGTTTATAAAAATAGGGAAAGGGAATTGTGCACATAGTAGTAGATTAAGAAAGGTCAGAAAGAAAGGGGAATCCAGATTAGTTCTCACTTCAGTTTCCAGTTTCTCCAAATACTGTATATATATATATATATTCTGAATATATTCTGAAAATTAATCCATCATACCATGACCATATACAGAAACATCCATGCCCTGTAATAGCTTTATCCACCCACATTAGGAGCTACAATGTCCTTTTCACAGCCATTCATCCTCATCTTCAGACTTTTCTCTTTTTACTTGATAAGCCTAGAACTTATTTTTAATGTGAAAGTAAAGAACATGTATAAATTAAGAACTGGTTGATTTGTCTGAAAATATGCTTGGTTCTCTACATTGCACAAGATATATTGATTTGAGGGCACAAATTCCACTTAGATAATGGATGGGAGATTTACATTTCAGAAATGCCAAAAATCAATAAGACACTCAAACAAATAGAAGATACAAGGTTCTATCATGTATGACCCTCATCTGAAACGTTTCTTCTCAAGTAGCCTCGCTGAAGTTGCTCTCCATCTCTATAGAACAAATCTGTGAATTTTTATTATTCACAAGTATAACACAGAAAAAGCATTTTCTGCAAAATGCAAAGTTTGGTATTACGAAGGTTTTGATATGCAAAGTTTGGCATTATGAAGGCCTATAACACAGATTTGTTCCTTAAGCTATAAAGAGCCTATAAAAAAGTAATAATCTTCTGAGCATGTGTAAATCATTCTTTCCTTAAAACCACTTGGTCTTCTTCATGAGAAGAGTGAAATTCCAGCTTATTCAATATATGTCATTTTTTATTTGAAGGTAAAAGCACTGCCTTTGAAACTGAGCACCAGTTATAAAACATCCTTGTTCACTCATACTAACTTCTAGCAATTCCAAACCATTTCTGCTTCTCTACTGTGTGCATAAGTTCTCCTCCCCATATCAGTCTTCAAACTTGCTACCAGAGGGAACTTTTGGATATTTTCAGACAAATGGTGGTAATAAGGGTTTTTGTTTTTTTGCAGGTGGGAGGGAAGTTGTCCAGATTGTTCATGGAACAAGTCTGTTATTGGTTCATTTCCAACCACCATCTGGACATATGTTTAGGTCTGCTAAAATTTAGCCATGCACACATAAACCTCAGTTCACAATAGGTTATCTTCATATGACTGCAAAAAGAGGTAAGGTAAAAAATATAACGAAGGAAACTAGTACTGAGGCATGATGGGTATGAACTGGTCCTTGAGAAAAACCAATATACAAGGGGGGAAAATCCAAATATACCCATATTATTACATTTGATTAAGAAAGGATAATAATACATATTGCTGCATTGGAAAGATAAGTATATCCTGCCAAGAACTATGTGGTAAGGCTATACCACATGGTAGTATTTACCTTTTAAAATATTTAGGATATTATTTCTTCCTAACATTGTTTCACAAAGGTTTAAAAACTAATACAGTGGAAAAGCATTTTAAGCTACAGTTCTGAATTTATAACGCCACAGAAGGAACAATGTACAGACAAATGGCTTACTGTATTTACAGTTTTAGAGAAATTGATGTTACATTTCAAAAGCTTCAGACCAACGTTTTTAACATATCGTTACCTTTTATTATGAAGCTGGATTCTTGTCCAATAAAGAGGCTTCATGGGTCGAGAAGGTTCTATTGCATGCTTTCTGCTACTTTTTTCCTGGTTAATTCCCATGACAAATAAACCGGTTGGCAAGGGAAGAGGAAGAAACCCAGATACTTGTGGAAGACTAGGAGCTGGAGGTGGTGGCATGCCTATTCCAGGCAGAGGAGGAGCTCCCGCCCCAGGCAAAGGGGGTGGAGGAGGCAGCACTGTCAGTCCTTGCAGAGGGGGAGGAGGGGGAGGTCCCCCCATACCTGGCCAAGGGGGTGGCGGAGGAGGGGGTGGCACTCCCATGCCTGGCAAAGGGGGAGGAGGTGGTGGAGGAGGAGGCACTCCCATGCCTGGCAATGGAGGTGGGGGTGGAGGGGGCGGCACTCCCATACCTGGCAATGGGGGTGGTGGAGGAGGGGGTGGCACTCCCATACCTGGCCAAGGGGGTGGTGGAGGAGGGGGCGGCACTCCCATGCCTGGCAAAGGGGGAGGAGGTGGTGGTGGAGGAGGCACTCCCATGCCTGGCAATGGGGGTGGGGGTGGAGGAGGTGGCACTCCCATGCCTGGCAGTGGGGGTGGTGGCGGAGGGGGTGGCACTCCCATGCCTGGCCAAGGGGGTGGCGGCGGAGGGGGTGGCACTATCCCTGGCAAAAGGGAACTAACTGGTCCTGGCAAAGGTGGAGGAGGTGGAATTCCAGTTACAGGAAAAGGTGGTAGAGATGAGATCTCAGAAGGTAGTCCAGCAGTAGGCAAAGGTGGCATAGAAGAGATGCTTGCAGGAGATAAAGAAGGGGTAGATGGTATCATGTCCATCCCTGTCAGACATGACGGGGAAGAAGTCCTTTTGGTGGGGAATGATGGAGCAGAGGTTGGTACTATGTCAGATGAGGACCCTAAATATCCTGAGGCAGAGAGGGATGAGGGAGGTGACACTGGTGAAGTTAAAAATGGGCCATCTGCCCCAGGCAGGGAAATTCCAGTGTCAGTAGATAGAGGAGCAGAAATGATGGGAGTAGATAAAGATGAGGAATGCTCATTCCATGTTACAGTCTCCATACCCGGAGGAAGATGGGGAGCTGATGGCACAGATTCCTCTTGAAATAAACATGAAGTTTGTGGCATTGTCAATTGTTCCTGGAAAGCATCCAGCTGTACTGATATCCGTTTTGGTGACAGAACTAAAGCTATTTCAGAGCAAAAGGTGGGTTGTGGCTCAAGTGTTGGCAACGGCTGAGTTGGCCCTTGACCTGGATCCCCTTTGAGGTGGGGAGGTGCTTGTGGCAGTGTACTGTCTGAAGGCATTATGTGTGTTAAACAATCATCTGTTGGAGATGTCTGCACAGATGTTGCAGTTATAGTTTTAACTAGAGCACACAATTCATGTTCTTGAAAAGCTCTGTTAGGTAGTCCTTCATGAGTTGGCTGTTCGGTCTCATTCCACACGCTTTTGCTTGAAACCAATACCTCTGTTGCTGGAAACTGTTTCTCTAGCTCTGCAATTTTTGTTTTTAAATCCTGTATGGTTTGCTCCAGCCGCTGAATTTCATTTGCCCGCATTTCTGATTTCATTGTAACATTTTCCTAGGAAACAAGAAAGAAGAGTCAACATGCAGGAAGAAAATAAAACATCTGCATAAGACCTTTGCCTGATGCATACTAAAACTAACCATATAAAGATAATATTGTATTATCTTTGAATATTTTAATGCATTATGAAAGTCTGAATACTATTAAATACTCAGAATGGGTTATATTTCACACTTTTATTTTAAAAATTAAGTCATATGCAACATATAACATATAGTATAGATATATTATAGATATTATAATATAGGTTTATCTATGCTTAAGTATTTCAGAATCTTGAATTTAACTTTGTTGTTCCACAATTTCTGTGCATGTACATGTTTTATCCTGTTCTTTCAGATTTTTTTAATTCTTTCCAATCCAATTAAATGTTGAAAAGAAATTACCTGAAGGGGTATCCATCCTATTCTTTTAGCACTCCAAAACTAAAATGGAAGGGAATTAAATTTGCTGTGGTTAGGAAAGCTGGGTAAAGGATAATTTCAGAAATAAGCAAGGTTTGGCCAAGGGTTGCAAAAAAAAAAAAAAAAAAATCTAGAAAAGATTATCTATTACATCCCTATGGAAGAAACAGTTGAGAAGCAGCTTAGAATATTGTTGACTGCTCTTTTCTTAACCCCTCTGTCTTCCTGATCATATGACTTTGAATGGAGATGATGTTAAGGAATTTCATAATAGCAATAGCAATAGTAGTTAGACTTACAGTATATATCACTTTACAGTGCTTTACAGCCCTCTCTAAGCAGTTTACAGAGTCAGCATATTGCCCCCAACAATCTGGGTCCTCATTTTACCCACCTTGGAAGGATGGAAGGCTGAGTCAACCTTGAGCCTGATGGATTTGAACTGCTAAATTTCAGGCAGCCAGCAGTCAGCAGAAGTAGCCTGCAGTACTGCACTCTAACCATTGCCCACTGTGCTCAATTCCATAAGCCGTTTGGAAGCTGCTTTTCCTAGTTTACGTTTCAATGTATGTACTTTTTAAAGTTTCATTTTGCAAGAATAAGGACTAATAGCTTATGCTATTAAAACAGTTTAATTGGGAATGTATTTAATTTGAAGAAAGAAAAACCACATCCATCCCAAATGAAGTCACAATATGAGAACAACAGATGTAATGCAATTTCTCTTGGGTGTTTGGCTGCAACTGATTTCACCAAGTTTAGTGGGTAGCATCAATGCACAAACATTAACTATCAAATTTGGGAAGAGTATAAATGAAAAGACCTGCATTGCTCCTCCATAAAGGCATAGCAGATTTTGGCTGATTAACATCGCTGCATTAGCTATTTGGGATTAATCCCAAGGAGCAAATAACAGGCTACAAGAATGCTAAAATAAGCCTATGTTTACCACTGGAGCCACTTTGATTTGGGATGTTTGAAAAAGCCAAAAAAAAAAAAAAAGGAAAAAAAAAGAGCCATCTAAAGCTCTAAACAGTACAATGGAAAGAGACGAAAGGATAAGTTAGTTTGTTTCTCCAATTACATTTTGTGCCAGTTTTTTCATTCATTAAATTTCCAATTAAAATCATTGCATTTGCATCTGCTTTGTTTGCTTATTTGAGGAAGAAACAGACATTGATGGTCACTTTGTTTTAAAGACACACAAAAGAAGAAAGAAACAACAAAAAACATCAGCTAACTATAAAGGTGATTGGTGTAATATGAGAGATTCAGAAAAATCAAACCCATTATGTAACATCTACAAACAGAAATTTCAGCAGCACTGTAGAGAACATTGTTTATTGTAGCATGCATTTCAGAGATACTGTAGCTATAGCAATTGCACTTCAATTTCTATACCACCTCATAGTGCTTTACAGCACTCTCTGGGCAGTTTACAATGTCAGTTTATTGCTCCCAACAATCTGGGTCCTCATTTTATTGACCTCGGAAGGCTGGAAAACCGAGTCAACCTTAAGCCCCATCAAAATAGAACTCCAAGCTGGGAAAGAGTTTGCCTGCAATATTGCATTCTAACCACTATACCACCAGGGCATCTGGTAAGATACTAGTTAACTGCACTGATTTTTTTACTAGCAAAGCCCATGTGAAAGTAGCTGATCACAACTTATTCACTTATTCCTTTGATCACATAAGGTTTCTTGTTGTACTTTATAAACAGCAAATTTCATGGTGATCTATCCACTAAGATATTAAGAGATTGATAAAAGAGCAGGGGTAAAATGCTCCCAGATCGGACCGGATCACCCGATCCAATAGCGATTTTTCCCTGTGGTTTGGCGATCTGGTAGTGATCGCTGCCCTGGTGTTTTTTACCTTCTGTGCATGCACAGGTGTGCATGCGCATGTGATGTGTAAAGGAGTATATGGTTTCATGCCTTCCCCCCACATTTGACTCATTACAATTTGCTTATCGGAAGGACCGCTGTATAGATGATGCACTTTCCTGCATGCTTCATCTTAGCTTGGTGCACCTGGAGAATAATAATCACATGTGAATGCTGTTTGTTGAGTTTAGTTTGGCATTCAACATAATCATTACTCAGCATTTGGTGAACAAACTGGGCCTGTTAGGTTTTAATACTTCTTTATGTAATTGGATACTGGATTTCCTTATTGATAGGCCCCAGTTTGTGCAAGTTGGAAGAAAAGTTTCCAACTCCATCTCCTTGAATACGGGTTCCCCACAGGGCTGTGTCTTGAGTCTGCTATTGTTTACTTTGATGACCCACAATTGCTGTGCGAAATCTGCTACGAATCATATTGTGAAGTATATGGATGACACGGCAGTGGTGGTTCTTATCTGGGGCGACAATGAAGATGCTTATAGGGAAGAGGTGAAGACATCATTGTAGATTTGAGAAAGAGCCAGCATAGTCATACTCCACTCAGTATCAAGGATGTAGCTGTGGAAGTGGTCAACAGTATTAAGTATCTGGGGATGCAGATCAGAGGTGGTATTCAACTGGTTCATACCGGTTCATGTGAACCATCAGCGGAAATTTGGCCAAGGTCGCCGAACTGGTAGCAATGGCTGGCTGGCCATGCCCCTGAACCAGTTCCCCAGTCATCGCTTGCTCGCCCTGCCCGCCATGTTTATCACCGCCATGTTATTTGTGCACGTGCATCCCATGCCTTGCAAATCTAATGGGATGTGCATGCGTGAAGAACATGGCAGTGACAGCAGCAGCTTTTTCTGTGACCTTCGGTACTTTTTGGCGGCTTGCGGCCAGCCGCCACAGCCTCAAAGTTGGGAGGCTTCTTTGTCAGCCATTTTCCAGCAGTGGCAGCTGGCTGGGGGCCGCTGAAAACTCAGGTCAGCTTGCCTTCCTACCGCCATGGAAGGTAAACAGCCCAAACAAAGAGGTGGGGGGGGAGGAAGCTGGGCTAGAGCCGGGGCACTAAAGGAGGGGAAACGGGGGTGACTGGCAAAGGGAGGGCGGGGGTAGATAGGTGGAAATTCCAAAAACTTTCCTACCTTTTCCTGTGGGTGTGGCTAGGTAGGGGGGTCATGTGACTGAGTGGGCGTGGGCATGAGTGAAATCAAATTGGCCATGTCCACTCTGTCACATGGCCCTCCCACCTAGCCACATCCACCGAACCAGTTTGAAACCCACCACTGGTGCAGATAACTAACAATCTGAATTGGTCTCTCCACATGTCGTTCTTAGTGAGGTGTGCAAACCAGCGTCTATATTTTCTGCGTCGGACGAGGAGAGTACATTTTTCTCCTTCTGTCCTGGCCACTTTTTACAGAGGCACAATTGCGAGCATTTTAACAAACTGCATCACTGTTGGTTTGGTGGCAGCAGTGCTTCAGATAGAAAGTCCATACAGAGAGTGGTGAGGACAGCAAAGAAGATTATCGGAAGCTTGCTTCCTATTATTCAGGATACTGTTTATAAGCACTATGTGTTTAGAGCTCAAAGCATTGTTAGAGATCCCACACACCCACTTTACAATCTGTTTCTGTTGCTGCCCTCTGGGAGGAGGTTTCAAAGTATTTCTAGCAGGACTACCAGATTCTGTGCCCTATGCCATCTATCTGATAAACTCACAAGATTTGTTTTTTTCGCCATGTACATGTATACATCCGAACTAGACTATATTATTTCTCTGTGTCATATACTATATGTGGGTATATGCATAATTATGTATGTATGTATGTATGTATGTATGTATGTATGTATGTATGTGTTTTATCATGTTTATGTAGTGTATATTGGAGGTGGCAACCCTTTGAGAGCTGTATGTAACAAAATCTCATTTTAATGTATGCTGATTAGTATACATTCAAAGTGACAATAAAGGTATTCTAAAACTAAGAATAGTGGCAGATATGGCTGGATCTTTTACTCAGAGCAAGTACCTCTTCCATACCAGGGTTTGAAGGAACACCTGTAAAAGTTTCATCAACACTACCCATAGTTGGATAGCAGTGAACGTCAGAAAACAACACACACACACACACACACACACACACACACAGTGTTAATCATAGAATCACAGGGCTGGAAGGGACTTTGGAGTCTTCTAGTTCAACTTCCTGCCCAAGGCAGGAGTCCTTATGCCATCCCAGACAAATGGTTGTCCACGCTTTTCTTGAAGACCTCCAGCATATTATACAATAAGCATATTATGCAGTATCCACTTGTTAAACCAAACAACATTACTATTCTGCTTCTGCTTCTCCCAGTGTCTGTCTATCTTTTCCTTTTGTTCAACTTTGCCCCCACTTCTTCATCTCAATTTGACAGAAGTTGGGCTTGACACCACATCATGTCTTGCTCTGCAGACGTACATGATTACTCTTCTGGAATTCATAACCACAAAATTATAAGCAAATCACAGACTTATGGGAATTCATTTCACAAACAAGGATGCTTTCAAAGACAAGAATGTTTATAGGCTGACAGTTTCGATTTAACGTAAAAAATGAGATAAACAATCAACATTAATGAAGGAATTTTTTTAATTATACACTCAAAGAAAAAAAAATGTTTAATGTGCCCCCTCCTTACTTACATC